TATCGGTATCGCTTCTGTTCATACTTGAACTACAATTTTCATATTTTTTGATAATTTTTAGTTTTAAATATTTTTGACACCTCAATCAAATGAAAACTTCTGGTAATTTCAGATTAGCTAGTTGCAATAAAATGAAAAATAATCAAAATCGTGATATATTGATTGTGAGTAATTGATATAAATGTACATACGTATGTAAGTTTATATGCTTCGCCTTTTTTTGTGCCATTTTAAAACTTGAGATTTTTCCTACAGTATTATTTTTAATGTCCCCGTTTCCTTTAAGAGAATGCGATGTCGGCCTCCCTTTAGGTACTTAAGTCCAGTTTTCGCATATATGTACAAGGTTTTAGGCCTTTGGCTGTGATATATTCAGAGACGATTACCAAAACCCTGTTTTTTTTTGTAAATTGTGTTGAAGAAGGGCAGAAACTGTACCCTGGTCAGAGATTTTTTTTTTGGCATGTGGTGTAAGTTACAACCATTAAATAAATAAAAAATTTGCTTACAAATTGTGTGCCCCAAACAAAAAGGGAAGAGAAACTTTCGAGTTGTATTATATATGTTGGTATGTAGATATGTATGCATTTCAGTAATTTACGCAAATTAGGCACGTTGATGGAATGAAATTTATTACATCGTAAACTGGCGCTATTTTAATACTGAAATTGTATGTAATGGCGAAACACGTGCTGATAAAGAGAGCAAAGAAAGGCGAAAAAATCACATAGAAATTAAATTTTGCTTTATGAGTAATATTTGCAGAATAAATAGCCGAAAGCAATGAGCAGCGTTTCATCTTACACCAATTTTGCGGTTTTATCCTCATAAATACGGACATAATAATGCATGAATTTGCATAAATAGGCATTTGTTTATAAACAAAGGCATATATGAATATTGCAGTATATTAAAGCTTTTTTTGTAGATATATAATTTATGTTTATTATTACATATATGCATTTCTTAGCCATTTTTCACTCACTATATTGTAATGTAAAATTCCATATACTTTTAAATTAAATGACAACCCATCAGCTCCTTTTATGAAAGAACATTTTAATAGTGAAGAAATTTAGATTACTCACAGCAGCCACCGCTGTGCAATGCCAATGTATACTTCGGGGCGTGTGAGTAACTTTTGAAACACATGACCTAACAAACTCGGGATACGTTAGCGCAGCTATGGACATATAAATGTATACCAAAATATTTAGGATGAAGAAGAAAAAAAACTATTGAGTGAAGTCTGTCTTTCCGCCCGCCCTTGCAGACAAAACGCAATTGCTTAGTTTTTATTTATCTAGCCCATTATATCTATATAGATAATATTCATGATCCTTTTGAGAGGAATCCGAATTCGAAAAGAGGGGGAGCAATTAATCTATACAGAAAAATGTATAGAGGTATGTATTTGTATACATAACTTCAAAACTAAAGTATTTTTTCGTATCCAATCTGTCGCCAATCTGTTATCATTATTAGAGGCACAGCCTAAGAGTAGAGCCTTTTACAAAACATTTCAATACCCATTGTCCTTCAAACTTAAATAGGCGCCTGGTGTCCAGACCATCTCAAATTAAAAAAAAAAAAAAATATATGTAATATATAAAACAGTTTTGAAGTGTTTGGGGCGCTTTTGGCCGAAGCAAGTTTTTATTTTTTGATGAAAGTTTGAAGTTATAGTTATGCTTTTGTTTTTTAAGTTAACTATAACAAAGAACTTTTTATATTGTTTATAATATACACTTTATTTTATTTATTTATTGCACTGTTTTTTATTTTTTTTTTTATTTTTTAGTTAAGCATTAAAAATTCTTGAAAAAAATTTCACATATAGTTAAATGAGACTAAACTTCCCAGAAAACCAGTAAATAACACCAAGAGTTTTAGTAAAGTTCAAATATCTCTTTATCTCATTACACTATTTATGTAGTACGTTGCAAATTAATTAGCTCATAAATCAATTGCCTGTAATACTCAAATACATACGCATGCATACAAGAAAAATTAAATATGTAAGTTAGATATGCAAGCATAATGAGAGTAACTAATCCAAAAGCTGAATTAATTACGAGATGAATTAACGAATGCGGCAACTTTCATTTTCTATTCACTCACACAAATGAGTATTAAGGGAAAGCAGCAGATTTTCCATTTATTTTTGTCCCATCAAGTTCATTATCATTGCGCTCATTAGCATTGTCATCAGCAGGAGCAGCTGAACTCGTTAATTGAAGAAGCCCAACACATTACACACTTACATATGTAGACTAATGAGCGCCTTCAACACCATCAGACAGACCTCAGCTACAGAGCGTTCCGAATTGTCTGTTTAGTATAAAGGTCTGATTATGCATACTTCGCGTAACTTCGCACAACCATTTATACCAGCGCAATAGAAATGTAACTTAAGAAAATGTGAAGCAAAATCTAAACGCTATAGATCGCTAAGTTTTTAAAAGTTCTGCTAATTTCTGGATATTGGAGTACATACAAAGTACATACATAATTACTGCTTGAAGTTTATGCGAAGTTGTGCGAAGGTATGCGAAGCAAGCGTAATCAGACCATAAGTCTAAATATTTTCGCTGTCGCTACCACTTTCCACCGCTTGCATAATTGCAAAATAAGTAATTAGCGTTAAGCTTATTTTGCCTTTGTTCTAATTTTAAGGTTTATTTACACTAATGTAGCACTGAGTTTTTAGAATTTAGTAATNAGAAGTACCTGCGCAAAAATGTAATTTATTGAATGTGGGAAATTTTTGAACATGCAGCTGTATTTAGCATGCATTTAGGCGCCTGGTGTTAGCAGTCACGCCTAAACAGTATTATGAGATTAGTGATATTTAGGAGCGTAATTAAAAAGGCTCCTTAGAGCACAATATTAAAACCTAATATGCAACTTCCAAATGAAAAATAATACAAATGCCATATTTTCTGCGATAATCGAAAAATTCAATCTACTTAACTGAACGATTAACAGACATTCTGTAGAAGCAGTTTCCAGCAAAATAAAATATAAGTACGACTTTTTTTTGTTATGCCCCAGTGGGATAATCTTAAATTAAGATTAGTGTTAACCAGACATTGCGTAACCGGCCCTTAACTGGCAGTCGACCAGTTAAACATCGTTATCGACGTTGCCGTCTCTATAGCTGTGTTTCCGTGGCAAGCCAATATGTACATCGTCTTTGCTCTACGTTTATAACAAGTTATACTAAGGCAGTACCCAAGGTGTTGTATACTGTCGTATTGTTGTATGATGCAAACTTTAAATGGCTAAATTTTCCACCATCAAAAAATAATTGGTTGTGGTTTCAAGTAGTCTTAACATTTATTTAGCCGTTAAAAACTTTACGACATACGACAATATGTAATTTTTTGAACCACCTAACTATATTTATGTGAATTGCGGAGTCATTTTCATGTGTACCTTTACGAGCATTTTTCGGTCAACCTATCAATATTGACATTTTTTCCGACAATTTTGGCATTTTCTGCACAGACCAACGTTTAATAAAAACAGCAAAAGTAAAGGATAAACTGTTAAAGAAATAAACCTTAAATTGTAAGCAACGGTCAAGCTATCCTTTTTATTATGAAATTAAAGCTATTTTCTTCATTTATTATTGTTGTAAATTAATTAAAATATATACATATGTAGCCACAATCCAATCATTTAGCTTTCATTTAAATTCATTTTTCTTTATTACATTGCCTTTCATATCAAAGTTAATAAAGCACATGCCAAAGAAATGTATGCAATGCTTTTATTTAAAACTCTCCTCTTTCTCTTACAGTTGCAGCGCCTGCGATAGCCTCTTTCCATCACTCATGATACTAGAACATCACAAAGAAGAATTCGAACATTGGAGTGACGATGAAATAAGCCGACGAATTTGCTGTAGACGAAATCGGGGGGAAGATTATTTTACTGATACAGACTCGTTCACGAGTGAAGCTGAAAGTGAGGATCTGGAGAGGCTGTTGTAAAAAGGGGGAACTTAACTATTGTAAAAAGGAAAAACTGAATAAGTGTGAGAGAAAATATCAGGAAGTAATTAATGTGCGTATTAAAACCAGCTGCTGGCATATTTATATGTACACATGTATCTATGTACATACATATATATAAATGAACGAGACATGTTAAATGTACACAAAAAGTTAAAATATCATATCTAATTACATACATACATAAATAGACAAGTGCATATATGAATGTATGTATATATTTCTGAAACAATGCCAGCTGCTGGCCAAACAAATCTTTATATACTCTAAGTAACTACAATGGTAGATAAATACATATGTAGAAGTTCTTGTGTATTCATGTACTTAAGCATGTAAAAGTCAGAGAAATGCTAGGAGCAAAGCACATGCTAAATATTTTTTTATATCCTCTCAGCAAACAAGATACAGGAAGTGTACAGCCCCAGGATAAATAAAAATACAAGTAGAGTATACATATGTTAACTTGTAAGTTACAAATATAAACAAATATTTATTACCGATTTCAACTTGTATGTATGTAAATAACTACATATCGAGCCCTAACCGCCAAAATAACGTAAGCGACATTTTTTTTCAAAATTTTNAATTTTGAAAAAAATGTCGCTTACGTTATTTTGGCGGTTAGGGCTCGATATGTTTCAATACTGTCATAACTAATTTAAAAAACAAAAACTCGAGAAAAATTTGAATTTATGTACATATGTATGTATACTGGGCGGGTCGACTTTTTCCCATAAAATTGCATATGGGAAAAATGCTCTAAATATCATTCTGAACAACTTTTCTTAAGAAACTATGGGCCTAAAACCAATTTTGAGCTAGCGAATTTTAAGGGCATATTTCATATAAGGTAATACAAAATTTTGTGGGAAAAGCTTAAACAAATAGCTGATTTAAGAGTATAAGGGTACAAAAAGTAGCTAATTTTTTTAAATACGTAGACGGTGCCACGCCCTTTGTCCAAAATTTTATCATAAACGTATTTTCTGCTAAAGAATTATTGCAAACATCAATTTTGAATAAATTAGCTACAGTATTTTCTGATTTATTGAAGATTTCGTATTTCTCTAATTAACCGTTATAGGGGATGTGAACGTGGTTATGGTCCAATTATAAAAATTTTCAGTCGTTTGGTATGTTGTACCAAGGTCAAAAATTGTCAAAGTTTGGGAGAAATTTGTGAAGCGGTTACCAAGATATACACATGTAGTCATAAGTGGGAGTTGCTACGCCCATTTTCCAAAAATTTATAATATTCTAATTTTTTGTCTAAAAATTATTGTAAGTATCAATTTTGGGTGAATAATCTTCAGTAAATAGTTTCTAAAATATCTCGGTTTCGTATTTCTGAAAATTACCGTTATATGGGAGGTAGGCGTGGTGATTGTCCGATTTTCCCATTTTCAATACCATCCTTCCTACGCCCGAAAGAAGTGCACGTACAAAGTTTCGTTAAGATAGCTAAATTGTTACTCGAGTTATCATTTACACAGACGGATAGACGGACGTACGGACGGACAGACAGGCACCGCTTAATCGATTTCTCTTTTTTATTCTGTTCATTTATGTATGCATTTGTCTATATTTATGCACAGACGGACAGACGGACGTGCGGATGGACAGATAGTCACCGCTTAACCGATCTTTTTTATCAATGCTGATCATTTATGTATTTACAAAAAAATAAACTACTTTTTGTACCCGACACTAATAGATTAGATATTTGTTTAAGTTTTTCCACAATATTTTGTATTACCTGTTATGAAACGTCCCCTTAAAAGTTGCTCGGAATGATATGTAGAGCAGTTTCCGGATATGCGATTTTTCCGTTTTTCTGTTCCCCTACAAATCGACCCGCTCTATATTGTATATTCCCACAGTAAAAATGAATACGTATCTTTCTGCTGAGCTACTGGTAATCGGTACTGCTTTGGAATTTTTTTTAAGCATAAAAGAACAGGTAGCGGTCCTTTCTGTACGCATTATTGAATTAAATGAGTGATATGTGTATTTTAGATGAGAATATAGCAAATATATTTTTAAACGAGACTATAGAAAAAAGCAAGATAATTCTCCGAAAAATAATTTAATTTGAATACATTTTGATGAAGCCCACAGGGCAGGCACTTTTAGTCAGTAAAATAATATATACATTTGTATGTATGACTATAAGTATTTGAAAAATATTTTTGCATTCAAAACCACCTGCAAGCACTGTACAATTTATCAAAAAATTCCAAGCCATATCAAATTTCGGACCTTTGTTTTTAATATAAAATTTTTGAGAAAATTATCTTTCAAAATGTAGCTAATGTTTTATAGTTTTTATATGTATAGAAAATAGAAGTATAAAAGTACCTTCTAATTATAACCTATTAATTATTTAACAGTTATACTAATAAATAAAATTAAATAAAATGTACGTAATGATTTTGATATACATGTGTAAATTTATAATCGAGAGCCCGCAACAGCGAAGAAAGAAAACTTGTTATAAGGTAAATATATGGCCCCAAACGAAACTTGTTTTCGAAGTAACAAAATTCTATAAGAAGTAAATTATTTTGGGGAAATAGCCCTTCTACAAAGGGCCTAAAATTAAGTAAAAAATTTTTATAATTTTTGATTGTTTGGCAAAAAATTGAAATTTCAACTGAGTTGAATGTCAAATGTCTCACTTATTTTAGCTTTATGTTCTGTTGCGACTTTACTTCATAGTAGCAATTGATTCGAAAAAAAAACATTGCAAAGTCATAAATAAAAATCGGATTTTGATATGTTCAATATAAAGGACAAGTCCAATGAAATAGTTAAGAATGTGCGTATCAGCTTGCTTGGCTACGCGGCTCTTTTGAAAGTAGCAAGAAGGAAATGTACGTAAATACGTTATTTACGTTTGTTTACGTCGAAGTGCTTGTTTTAATATACATATGTAAATATGTTTTACAGAATATTGTTAAAAATCAATATTCGATAATGTCATTCATCTTCTGTTGGCACCTGAGATCGAAATAATTCATTGGCATGCTATTCAATTCAATGATTCGCTTATGTTTTGTATGAAACATGAGCTGGAAATTATGTACAGTGACGAACAAAAGTATTGGCACATCTCTAAACTTTGTGCAAAATTCAGGAAAATTCATTAAATTGGCACACTAATTTGCAACTTTTTATTAGAAGAATTCAAAGTATGCAAATTGCAAGTTAAAAGTTGCTAGCAAATCGCGTTGAGTTTGGGCAATTTTTTTAGTGGAAGGTGTTACTCATTTTCTCCATACAAAAAATAATTGTCGAATATACTTTGTATGGAAGAATTTGGTGTAGAATGAACTATATTTTTATAAGAAATTATCGAAAATAAATTAGAATAAAAAATTTTGCATATATTGCGAAAAATGCACTGTGCCAATACTTCTGTTCGGCACTGTATGTTACTCATACGCCAATTATCACCGGGTTTGATCAAAGTTAATAGGGAACAAATGTGGATGTTCACACCAGTCACGTTATCAGGTTATTTGATAATTTTTTTATGTAATTTATAGGGCTGTCTGTTGTTTTTAGGAAAAATCACAAGAAATATTTTCATTATTTCTGTTGCTTGAAAAAGTACTTTGCTGTTGCTGTAAATTTTCTTGAAGAAATTAACATACGAAATTTCACTTTTTGAGCATCATTTTATGCTCTCACCCCATAGGAATATTCTATACCGGAAATAATATACCCATATTTTTTTTATTTTGAAATCAAAAAGTATTTAGAAGTCGCTCAAAGCGTCCAAAGTCTTCCATGTAATTTATATGGGGAAAAAACAGCGTCTTGTAGAAATGGTATAGAATTCTTATAAATCAATACTTTTCTATTAAAAAACTCTGTTTATCTGCAGAAGATTCGCAGTAATAATATCCGACTATTTAGTTAACCATTTTTTCATCGCAACTATAATTTATGTGTCCTCTAAAAACCCCCGAAAAATGCAGTAGGGGTAGCAATAAAAAATCGTTAGTATTGAAAAGTGGTTAAATAAAAAATTTTGTATTATTATTGAAAGTATCGTGAAGAGAACCGGGGTTTTCCGATCGAAAAATATTGATTTTCAAAAATTCTATATAATTTCTACGAAAAGTTGTGTTTTTCCATCATATAAGATACATGGAAAACTTTGGGCGCTTTAAGCGATCTATAAATGTTTCTTGATTTCAAAATAAAAAATAGGAGTATATTTTTATCGATACAGAACAATCCTAGGGGATGAGAACATTAAAATTTCGAGTATACTTTTTTAGACCACATACAGTATGTAAATAATAAAATTAATTGTTTTATATATACATACATATACACTATGGCGTTAGTTGTAGTGCATTTCTAATTTCACTACCAGTATATGGTTAGTGTTAGTGCATTTTAATTACATACATTACCACTATGTATATGGTTAACGAGAGTGCTTTTAAAATTTCACTAACACTAGGACAGCTAACTCTAGCTAACACTAGGTTAACCGAACGAAAATTTCACTACCACTGACTAATTAAGCTAGTTAACAAATTTAGGAAAATTTAGCAAACCGTGATTTAAATACCCATGTCCTTACAACAAGTTTGTTCAAAAATGTACTAAGTTCATAGTGGTAGCGAAATCATTTTGTTACTACCACTATTCACTTAGCGGTAATGCATTTCAAATTTCGCTTTTGAAAAATGCTACCAATAATGTCAGTTACGCGGTTTTGCAGAATGACGATACGCGGTTTTGTACTTTAAACAACGATATGTTTATATATGTGCGTGTACCCTGCAGGAAATGTATCTAACTATAAGCTAACTTTACGCTGATTAGGAAGGAGCTAAAAGTCACTTGTTGTCTGTATATTTTCTGTGACGAAAGCTAACTATATTTCTATGGCGATTGCTACGAAATAGTCAAGGGTGGTTTACCTCTGCATTTAATGTAACTAGCTTGTAACTATCAATAGGAAAAACAATATTCTTTCTTAAATTTTTTATTTCTTTTTTTTTTACTCTATTTATTTTATTACATTTCATATATGTTTTCATATTCTGTTGTAGGTGGTCCGAACTCCGTCAGACATACCCTGCAGGAAATGGGACTAGTTTGTGGCTAACTATTAACTAACTAGCTTTCGACTAGTGGTGATTATTTATTAACTATTTCCTTTGGCCGTAACTAACTTATTTTGAAGGGCGATGGCCGCAAAATAGTGATAACTGGTTTCCTCTGCATTAGATGTCATCTAACTACTTAAGGACATAAAAATCAATGAGAAAAATGAAATATTTTTTGTTTATTTATTTATTTATTTATTTGCTTTATTTTATTACATTTCATATTTGTGTACATATTCTGCTGTAGGTGGTCCGATATTCGAACACCGTCAGACATAACTTCAAAATGATAATGTAAAATTTCAATCTTCCTTTTATTTGTGCTGAATACGAAAAAGGATCTGCGAAGTTCAGACAAAAAAAGGTATTGAAAGTAATTTTTGTGTAAAGAAAACAAACTCCCGATAACGTCTGCACAACTCTCGCACGACTTTACAACTAACTTAAAGTTAGTTTTGTCATAGCTAGTTAGAAGCTAGTTATTTATCGAACTCCCCCAAAAAACGCGTCCTTCTTCGCCGTCAACTAGGTTATGCGTCTTTCTTCGCCGAAGTTTTTATTAAGCGCCTTTTTTCGTGCAATTTTTTTTATGCGTCTGTTTTCGCCGTCGAAACACTAGCGCGCCTTTATTCATCTCTAGTGACGGTATGTTTTAATAGGCTAAAAATTCGCGTTGACATTTGAATATTTTTTTGTTTGCCGACGGTATTATTATTTTCTTCCAGGTAGGCACTTCGAACTTGAATTTTGCGCAACTTTTTAGAATTTTTCTATTTTTTTGTAAAAGTGAGATATTTGGATTGGACATGGCTTTTTTTGACATATAATTTTGTCTCAGGAAAACTGCTTCAAAAAATACTGTACTGAGAAAAATGATTTTCTTTACAAATGGAGATACTGCGAAACGGGATTATTTCGCTGTAATATACACTTTTTTGTCCGAAAAAGGATACGAACGTTATATATACATACACTTAATATTAACCAGAAAAAAGAAAAGAAATTTTCCCTATAAAATGTCTAAGGCAAACTACTTCTGGGAAGATGGCATACGGTATGACGCAAAAGGACAAAAAAAGCGTTTCCGAGAAGCTTTTCAGAGTTCCAGAGTTCTTTAAAAGGAAAAACAAAACTTTAAAAATTGTGTATGCCAGATTCACTCAGCATACGAGATGTCGCAAAAAGGCAAATAAAAAACTGTTCTGTGTAGCTTTTAAATAGCTGTAGAGTTCTTGCAAAGGAAAAAAATTCCTGCAAAATTACCCCGATTTTTTTTTTTTCAAAAAGTGGACAAAGTCAAAGGATTTTGGCTGGAGAGGAGCTGGAGCACAAATCTAAAACAAATCATTTGCCCCATATCTCTTTAACGAAAATTAAATTTACTTAGTTTTTTTTTGTTATTGCCACTGAAAACAACCATGTTAAACAAATATTCATTATATTTTTACTTGGCAATACTGTTCATAGCATAATGCCCAGCAGTTAGGAATAATTGCCACGTCAACTTGATCGGCGATAAAAAAATAATGCCCTCGAAGCCAGCAGAAAATTTTGTCGGAGACCAAAGGAAAAAGGCTACAATTTTCTTTCATTTACGTATCCAAAAGCGTTCAAAAAAGTGCAGTTTCCTTACCCGGAAACGAACGGAAAACGACTAACATTTTCATTCATTTTCGTTTCTTGTCTGTACATAAATTTCTTCCGCATACCTTATTGGAAAAACGGACTGTCAAAGTATTGGAATCGGTAAACGGACAAAAATCTTTTTGCTGGCTGGGTTAATATATGCCATTTTATTTCAATAGAAATTTTATTGAGAACATATAAAAAAAACCTTAGTCGAAATTTTTTAAATTTTTCTTTGGATACAGAAGTGCTTCTATAGCATGTAAATGCATATCTTCATAAAAAAAATAAAAAAATTTCGATAATTATTTTTTTGTTGCTAGGGATCGTAAAGAAATTAAATAAACAAAGATGGTTTTTATTGGGAGTGTAACGAAGCTAAGAGCGGAGTGCGGAGCGAAATAAAATACCGAAGCGGAGCGATGAAAAAAACCCCATTGCTTCGAAGCCCCCTTTTTTTTCTTTGTTTCAACCGACTTTGAATTTTGTTTCCTGTTAGATACCATATCCTGCCATGCTGAAACCGAAAAAACAAAGACTGTGAAGAATATGCCTACCTATTTGTAACTAATTTTACGAAAGTAGAAAAAAAATCATATTCTTTCATATTCTTAGGCCTGCATGTTAAGCTAACTTTGTCTGCAGTCAGAGACTAGTCAACATTTTACTTTCAGTTTAAATCAATTCCAGGTGCCACCTAATGCCACTGGTTATTTTTCATATTCTGGGAGGTGGGCTTTTTATGGTGTTTTTAAGGCGATTTTGAGGTTAGGTTTGTATGTAGGTTGTTCATACCAAGTGCGGACCAGTCCTTCAGCATATGACCCTTCCACTGTGCTCGTGGGCACATGTCCAATCAGGCGCAATCGCTGTATTTTTATGCGCTTAACTACTATGCCCATGTGGAAACCACTGCAGAAAATAATTATTAGTATAGTAAAGTAGTAAAATGTTTCTAGTCCTTACCTACCTTTGAGAGTTTGACATGTATTAAAACGAAAGTTTTAAACTTGTGATTTATTTCATCTTTTATGTACTATGTAAAACAATTTCAAATATTTCGAATTCTTTTCTCTCTCCATACGATAAAACTGGTTTGCAGATATTTTCAAATAAAATATGTCTGCCAAGCCCACATACACGCATGCATATTTAATTAACTTTTAACGTTATGTTTACATTAATTGGCTTTTTAATGTTGTAGCGTAACTTGTCGGACGTTTAAGATATTAAACCTCATTTTTATGCATACATACATATTTGTTGTGCGAGTATATTGCTTTTATGATTTTCGGGAACATCAAAGCGGATTTTGCTGGTGGAAGCTAAATAAGAATGTACAAATAAAAAATCATTTTCTTTTCAATAGGGATTATGGAAATAAGTGCGAATTTTTTAAAACCATTTTTAACTGTACATATAATTCTAACCCTTACGTACTGTTTTTTGTCTTATAGATCATAACACAATTTTTTAACTAAAATAAATATTTCGTTGACGCTCCAGTAACAACTACTAGGAACAGTTTTTACCGAATCAACAATGAGTTTATTCCCGTAGCGGGCATAACAATGAAAAAAATTATAGTTTAAAAAACTAAAACCTCCCTATTATAACTGCCATTCGTACTGTTATCAGGTATGTAACTTGAGAATAGAAATCGCTGCATCTTTTAGGCGCATCGATATTACATAGTTACATCCCGAGCTAATAAAAGGAAGGTAAAAGGTAAAAATACAAGATTGCACATTCTCAGCGTCCTGACATTTCTCAAGTAAAAGTAAACAAAACCGAATAGGAGATAAAGGAAGTAGGAACAAAACAGTGAATCTTCTAAAAACGGAATCATTAAATAAAGTGTTAGAAAATTGGAGATTTGTGTGAAGGTATTAGTAAATAATGTCAGCTGCGAAATCCAACGCAAAAAACCCTTATCCAACCAGTATTACTTTGGACTAAGTAGGCAATTCAGAAGTAAAGTCCTTCTCGACATACGAAAATCACACTCTATAAGTCACTCAACATGAGCGTGCTGGTATATGGTGCAGAAGCTCTTACAATGACAAATCCGATGAGGCGGCTCTCGGAGCATTCGAGAGAATAATTTTGCGGAAGATTTAGCGGCCTTTACGCATTAGTTAAGGCCAGTACCACAGGCGATGGAACGATAAGCTGTATGAGCTTTAAAACGACATGGACAGAGTGCAGCGATTTATAGTTCAGCAGTCTGCTGGGTTGGCCATCCTTAATGAACACCGACGCTCCAAATCTAAAATTACTCAACTCGAAACCTGCTGGGTGTTAACAGAGATAGAGGAAGACGCCCGCTTCTATGGAAAAACCAAGTAGAAAGGACTTGGCTTCACTTGGCATTTCTAATTGGCGTCCGTTGGCACAGAAGAGAAACCCAAAATCGCTCAGGCGATCCATTGGTTTTTGAGTTAAGAACAATGAAAACGGCTATCAGTTTGTATGTACATACACATAGATATTTAATAACACCAAAAAGTTGCTGCCATCACGGATTAAAACAATCGTTTCGGGAATAATTAATGTTGGGAATTTCTCTTCATTCAAGTTTTTGTCGGTTAACTTATGTATGTGCATACATACAAGCACAGTACACATGTGTTTATCTGCTATACAATATCTATTCATATACAAGTATAGCGCTGCTGAAGCGCATGGTGGCTGACTGTTGCCGGTTATTTGCATAGAATCCATAACAATCTGCATACATTATTTTAACTCATATCTGTATTATTTCTAAATAGCAAGAACTGTTCACCTTTCCATTTGATAATCGATTTTTGAGCGTTAAATGGGTGCGAGAAATATTAATTTATTTGCAGCATATTTTCACCGTCTTTTATGCTTTTAGCTAAGCTTAGTAGCTGCTCCCTTTAGCCGGCATTTTTGAAATGCAAAACCTTTCTATAAATATCTATACACACATATGTATTGTGAATCTAGCCGTAAGTTGACCATGGCCCTGAACTTGAAATTCTACTATTGTTTGTGGAATGACAAAATTTTGTTTCACCGGCGGTATAAAATAGCGCGTGCAAAGAATCGGAGCGTATTTCGTCAACCTCTTTTGAACTGAAACGTATTTTCTCTGAGCATTGCGTGGAATAAAATGTTACGCTATTTTGTGGTAAGTGAATCGGATAATCGAAAGGAAATTTCGTTAACATTATATGAAATGAAATAAAACAGCAGCGCAACAGCTTTAAATTTTAATTTAATTTGTTTTTATTCGTGGTTTTCTCTTCAGTACTTATGTCTCGTGGCTGCTGCTAGCGCCCAAGGTGAAGGCTACAATTATGCCAGCGCCAGCGCACCCGAACCAAATGTATACATTGCTCCGCCCGATCCAGCACCCGCCACTGTACAAATTGCACCTGCTGAACAATACGCCGATAATGCACCAATTGCTGCCGCTTCACACCACCACATTCAGCCAGCCGCATCCGCGCCGGTGCAAACTGCGTACCGTAAGGACTTTTACTATTTCAGCACCCCTTCCGAAACTGCCGTTCATCGACAAGTCGCACAAGCTTCAGAGCCAGTTGCCACAGTGAAAAAGCACTTGAATGTGATTGTGATTAATGCACATGAAAGCAGCAAACCACACCACCAACAGCCATTGCAGAATACCGTATCACAGTCTGTTGAAGAAACAAAAAATCAAATTTACGTACTCAGCAAAGAGCCAAGTCGTAGCGCACCAAGGCCAGCCGCCTCACAGCAGCACATCACCACCACACACCAATCACACATACCGGAAGTGCACTTTGTAAAGTATAAGACACCCGCTGAGGCGCTCCAACTGCAGCAACAGATTATACAACAGTATGGTGGTGGCAATGTTGTGGACTTGGGCAAACAGGTGGCTGCTTCCAACGTAAATAGGCGGTACCTCGCACCAGCGGCATCGAATGTGAATAATCAATACCTCGCACCAGCTGAAACGGCCGAGTCTGCACCTGAGCCATCAAACGCCTACATTCCACCGAGATTTTTCTTCAAACTATAAGCGATAGGAAATGTGCATGTAGTTGTTATTTTATCCTTTTTAGTCATTTTATTGCAACGTAAGATATAAGTTATTTTCATTAAGCTCTTCGTTTCATTGTGTACTTTTTTCCTTTTATCTCCTGATTCTCTGTGAGAAAATCTATGTATGTATTCAAGTTGTTTTCCAAGAAAAATTACTTAGTTGAAATAAATTCCAGAATATGAACCATTTATTTATTTCTTTATTTGCGCCTTGTGGAATATACGAATAACTATGATGTTCTAGCCTGAATTCCAGAAAATTGAATAATTTGCACGTGGTCAGGTTTTTTTACATTTGGTAAGTTCCGCGAAAATAATAGTTATTTGAGAAAAATTGTGAAAAGTAGAAAATATGTATTTCCAAATATTTTAGCAATCTTGTTTATACAAATATAACGGCGATCGCAAACATGTACCTGATTCGTAAGTATCAATCTATACCCTTATTATTGTCAATATACATATATACAATATGAACATCCATATAGTCAAAATTATGGGAACGAGGAACGAGTGAAAAAAAATTCTTTAACTCACCCGTCAACTTTGATATATTTTGTTGATATACATATGTACATACAATCTTATGGGATCTAGAAACAAGTGCCGATTGACATGGATGGTCTTTTCCCTGCCGAATTCCAGTCAGCGTCTGGTGTGTTTCATGTTCGATACTTGTGTTAATCTAAAAGGCTTTTCTTAAACTTAGTTTCATACCCAAGGGTTGGATTCTGGCGAAAGTTGCGTTCATACCCAAGGGAGGTAGACCCTCCCACGTGAAACCGATAAGCCTTACCTCTTTCTTTCTCAAGGTTCTGGAAAGGCTTCTATACTCGCAGGTGTGACAGAAAATTGATGTTACTAAGCCCTCTTTCTGTTGCACGCCTACTGGAAAGGTAGCTCTGTGGATATAGCTTTGCATAGTGTTGTCCGCAACACTGAAAAGGAACCCGCTTTTAAAGAATTTGCACTAAGCGTGGTCTTAGATATCGAGAGTGCCTTCAATAATGTTCTCTCGGGGGCTGTTCTCCAAGCCCTAACTCGCATTTGGCTTAATTACCCTCTGGTCGAGTCTGTTCATCGCCTCTTAGGCAGTAGAACTATATGTATATTCGGAGATGGGGGAGGTATCCATAATTAGATATGCTAGCTAGAATACCACTCCACAAGGTGGTATTCTCTCTCCACTCCTTTGGAATCTAACGGTGGATACTCTGCTGTCTCGGTTGCAGGCCACAGGATGCGAAGTCATTGCTTATGCGGATGATCCTGCCCTGACGGTAGTTGGTAAGCACCCTCAAATTCTATGTGACATCCGGTCCAAAGAAGCAGGCCTTAGTGTCAATCCGGCAAAAACGGTCATGGTTAAATTTCTCAAAGAAAACTCAAACTGTCCGGCTACAGCTTCCTTCCTTTAACGGCATCGCACTGACCTTTTCGGAGGAAGTTAGATATCTGGGCGTTATTCTGGACAGACATTTAACTTGGCGGCGTAATATAGAAGAGCGTAAATCAGCGTTAGGGAAAAATGGAGATTGAAGCCTTATATTGTGAACTGGATATAAACAGCGGTTGTGCATCCCATTCTGTTGTACGGCATCAAGATTTGGTGGCCGTCTGTAGATAAATCTACAATAAGAAGCAAATTTGCGAAGGTTTAAAGGGTGGCATGCCCGTTGATCACGGGAGCTCTACCATCGATGCCGACTAATACCTTAGAGATCTTGCTTCACTTTCTACTTGTAGACTTATATGGTAAACTACAGGCAAGCTGTACATTAGTTGAACGTGGCTAATCAATTATCTTAGTATTTACTATTAATATTTTTTTTTTAAGGCTGTAACAATATTTTCTGATATCAAAGCAGCTATTAGAGCACTTAATTGTGACAAACCTACTTTAAAGATTGATATTGAAGATAGACGTACTCTTAATAAACTGGAAAGATGTTACGTCTGTAATGTTGTATGGGTGCCAGGCAACAAAGAAATACCGGGAAGCTGTGTCGCAGATGAACTAGCAATGGTGGGAGCCTTTCTGCCTGCAATCAATACAGCTCGTAATGCGGACATTCCGCTATCTTCATTCAAACTCTGGCTGGAGAATAACTTTATCGGACGGGAAAATAGAAGATGGTCTGCGGGGCCTACTTGCAGGATAGCAAGACACATCTGGCCTAAGCTAGACAAGCGTAGATCTCGCCCTCTCCTCTGCTTGGAGCGACCACTGCTCCGACATGTTATTGGAGTTCTCACCGACGGGTCTGACGGGAACCCAACGTTGCTATAATGGGTTTGCAGTCAACCGACTACTGCTGTAATTGGCGTGATGAAAAGGAATTCGAAAACGTGGAGCACTACCCATACTACCCACTGCCCCGCTCTGGCGAGATTTCGTCGACGCTCGTGTGCTTCATCAGAGCCACGAAGTGGTTTCATTTCTAAGGTACTATACTTTTATAATACTTTTAGACTCAAGATTATTTGAAAAAATTATCAGTGTCCAAACATATATATTTGGTAAAGAAAATGCTGCATGCAAAAGAAAAAAACAATGCTCAATTATGACGTTGACTCACTTGTGTTTTTGGGAATACAGCGAGCGGATATTGTTTCAGATCGGATAAAACATGTCACTGTAATGTTTTGTTACAACATATTTACTTATGAAAAATACCCATAAGATAAAGCGATTTTGACTATATACCTACGAAACTATGCATGATCACCAGAATCAAAAGTTCTAGAAATATGCTCATATGCAATTTGTTATATAGCATAAGGTCCTATACTTTTACAAAAACCGATTAAAAATTAAATAAACAAAATAAATATAGCTAAAACTAACCGAAAAAAGAAATGTTTCTCTTATTTCTGCCAGCACTGTATGTTGAATGGAACGCTGCCATATCGTGTTTAAAAAAATATCTGCTAGATAAGATAACAATGCGTAGTCAAGCAACAAATAAACAGATTAACAATTTTCGAATATTGTGGTAATTTTAACAATAACGATACATTAGTGAGTCCATTGTTGATAAAATGTATTAACGCTGTTTATAGATATGTACCTGTGAGGCAGATAACTCAATTGAGCGTAAGCACGATAGCAGATACGAATATGTTAGGCGTAAAGTTCGTATAGCAATTATTTTCAATTGAATTTTAAATGTGGGGATTTCGATAGTATTTATGTATTTTTTTTTGCGCTCATAGCAACCAATAAAGTAGATCCAGGGTACATTCCAGATCCGACCAACATCCAAACTAAGGTGGTTTTTGTTGCAAAATCTTCAGAAGTACAAAAATATAATTTACATATTTTTGTTGTTTTTTATTCATTTTACGGCCAAACAAGTTTGCGAAGAAGAAACAACTGAAACACTTCTACTTTTCGTTGCTTTATTTAAATACCTACAAATATCTATAAATATGTACATATTTACACATGATTTCCTAGTAATAGTAATTGTTTACTTTAGATTTGTTAATTTTGCGCTAAATTTTTTCTTCTCCTCCAATTTTTATTAGCTTTTTTGTAGCCCCAACTGATATCGGGTGCTTCACTGAAATTTCAAACCCACTCGCAATCTATAGGTTCGTTCGCGTAGCTGTTAATTGTTCATGTTTAACCAAAACTTACAGGTTTTTGCGTTCGCGTACACAAAAAACTTGCAAAGTAGGGGAAATTGAGAGAGCAAAGTGACATTTCATTTTGAGGGGAAGCTGTTAGTTTCTGTTGGAAAAATTTTTGCCAACAGCAATTTGCCAACAGGGAAACAGCTGATCAAAAACAGCTGGTTGGCATTTACGCAAATCACAAAATTTAATTTGATGGTTTGGAAGATAAAAATTACAAAATGCGACAAATTAAACTTGTAAGAAATAAGTAGTTATTTGTTTAATCAATAAACTGTGTCAGTATAACACTTTGCGATGACTTTTCGTACGTTTTAAATTTTACACTTTTGTATGTAAACAAAAATTATATCAGCTGTTCGTCTAACTTGCAAGTTCCTGCAAATTTTCTGTTCGCGTACTATTTTGGATATTTCTCTCTTGTGAGCGAACAGATGACATTTCGCCGGAATTTGGCAGTTGGTTGGTTTCTGTTGGAGATTTTAAACGAACGCACCTTATGAAGTGACTTGAAGTTCAAAAAACAGCAGCAACAATAATGTGTAATAAATACTGCACGTACATATGTACATTCATACTTATGCATGTACATATGTACAGTGGCGGTCAAAAATGGATGAATGGTGTTTAGTTTTTAATATTTATAAATGATTTTTAATATTTGTTTTTTTGTTGGCGGCGTTTTGCACCTATTTCCATATAAACATGAATTTGTTGTGGAAGAATATGCGCAGGACCGTTTGCGAGAAAAAAACAAAACAAAAAAAGTAAACGCCAGTTTTACTAAACTTCACTATTTATATGAAAAGAAAAAACGGGAAAATTTGTCCGCAAAAAAATTATTAAAAATCAATTCGATTTTAAAGCCGCTCCAAACTTGCACTCATTTTACTAGAATTTTTATAAGCTTATTAAATGCATACTCAAAAAATTTATAAAAATTCTGATTAAAAAGCTAGAAATTTAGATAATTTTTTTTTGGAATTTTTCTAAGTTCTATGTAAAGTTAGAAAGTGTGATTTATATAGTTTTTGATACAGCATGAACCATATTTTTATAAAAAAAAATAAATAAATAAAATTATAGCTTGAAAAACATTGTAAATATTAAAAACTAAACACCATTCATCCATTTTTGACCGCCACTGTATGTAGGTATGGGTATATTCATACAAACATATACAAGTAAATAAATTATTGTAACTATTTGCTTAAATTAATGCTTTAATATTTGGTTTTGTAACAGTCAGCACCCCATACGACGTAATGCCGGTCGTCAAGCAAACGCCAGCGGGTGAATTTAAGAACCAAATGCATATATACAGACATTTGTATATAAGCCAACGTATGCCTACGTAAAATCTACTTCAACCGGCACGCTTCAACCAGTGATGCGGCTCTACCACACAATTGTTTATACATATGTATGTATGCAGGTATATAGGTGCTTCTTTAAATATTTTTAATTTATGCAGATTTTTTCATTTTTTTACGATTTTATCGCACAGCGTCTTCTTTTATACTCTTTTCGCTTTCAGCTATTATTGTTTATTTAATTAAACAATAGTCTCGTTGTTGTCTGCATTAATGCCTAAAATTTGCACGTTATCGATGATGCTTGCTAATGATTGGCATGGCGTGATGCATTTTTAGAATTTTTTCATGAAATAAAAACACGTGAAGTAAATGTAAACAGTACGTTTTCTTGTTTTGTTTTACACTTACATTTACACACGTATGTACATAAGTATCTATGTATACATTTACATAATTTATAAACAACTACTTATGTTTATATGTTATTCTATAATAAGCACGGCTCATTTAAATACAATTTTTACACGGAAACCGCACAGCTGACATGAATGATTAGTTACTCTTTTGCATACAGAGTATCAATTAAATTAACCGCATCTGAGGAATTTATTTTTGTGCACTTGATCAAAATTGACTTTGCTCAACTGCATTTGGTGATTGATATTTATGCGGACATAAGTACTTACATTTATACATTTCTATTATATTATGACATTTTCTCGAGCTGGTATTCAATAAGGCCATTGAAGGCTGAAATTGAGCGTGTGTATGTATATTATTTGCTCCTCGATTACCTCTATTTAACTACATCTATAGATAGTATATACATTATATGCTAACGTACAAATATATGTATCGCTTTAAACAATTTCAGAGTGCACAGAATTTATGAGTTTAAAATTAATTGTTCTTTTGGACAAAAAAAGTCCCACAATTCTGAGTTGTAACCCCAATTATGAGCTCAAAAATGTGCCTGAAAAGGGCTTCTTAGAAGCCACGCCAATATGTTCCCCCGAGCTTTTAGGGTTGAAGCAAATGGCTTCTAAATTCTGACGGAACTGGTTGTATTGCTCAACAGCCGTATCAGTTTCGCGGGGATACCAAATTTAGACATCGCCTCGTATAGGCTACTATTTTTTGTGCCGTCAAAGTGACTTTGAAATAGATAAATAGGTAGTGAGTGTCGATCAGCTTTTCGCGGTGTTTTCCAAGATTTCGCGTTTGGTGAATATTTGATCATACTGTTGAGCCCCAATCAGTTCATTGATGGCGTGCTTCATGGTTTTACAGAACACGCCTTTTACGCCCCATTAAGAAGGTGGATTGCCCATATGGCGGGATCACATTTCTTGTGGATTGAGCTGAGCACACTTGAATTAAAACTGTCGAGCATGCGTTTATCTGGAATTTATATATTCTGTATTCCGCACTTAATTACCTTATCTTCCAGCCCGTCAGTTCCCGCAGCATTTTTGTTTTTCAGCCTCCACATTGCTATTCGTACCTCGTCATAGTTGGGCGGTAGTACATCGACTCCGTCGTCTTCGACTGTGGACTCGGGTGCATCTCTTAATTTGATTTCATGTTGATAAATCTTCTCTCTACAATTGTTTGTTCTCACAGAAATTCGCAGTGGTCTTGAAACCGTCCAGGCGATTTTCCTATCTTCCTGCTTAAAAATACGTAAGTGTTCAGAAGTTTACTTTTTACAGATTATTTAAATTTTAGTGTAGTTAAAAATTGTAGTAACTTTTATACATACATAAGTACATGTGTATTAGAAAGCTGTTTATGTCACGTATTCTTACCAATTAGTAAATGCAATTCCTGTAATTAGTGCAATTATCAAAGGCATGTAAATACTCTCGCCTATTCTAAGCTCATTGATGATTCATCTGAATATTGTTCTTTTTTACAAGCTTTTGTTAAGTTTTCCCTGTGTGTAACCAATTCTTGCAATAAAATTTTAACCAGTTTCTCGATTAGCTAGAGACTTGAAACTTCAAACTTAGCTCAGAATCCGAGGACAATGTAATATGAAATAGGTATTGTTCCTCTAGATGGCGCAGGTGTGAGGTATTTGAAAACATGCATATTTATGGTCCGAATTGGTGCATATTTAAAATGCATATTACTTCATGAAAAAGAGTCAAGATATTTAAAAAATCCCTATTTATGGTCGGATTTACTTCTTATTTAGAATGTATATATATAAATATTTTTTTATTTTTATATAGGCCGCTAATAAGTGCTTGTGTTAAATATATATATTTTTTTTAAATTAATTTTTTCCTATTCGGCTGGATGCATTATTTAATAAAAAGTAAANAACATTTTGTAAGCATAAAACTACTGACAGATTTTGTCTTAACTTTCTGAGCATTCATAAAATGCAAAATAAAGAATTAAATGTAGTCTTGATCTGTGAAATCCGCGAGAAATCGTAACAAGTTCCAAAGAAGTTCTGAAAATTCTTAAAAGCAAAAATACGAACATATACTGAATAATTGCGAAAAATCCAACACAAATAGTCCAGGAAAAAAGTTACCAATCTGCAGTTACGTGTGAGAAAATCGAAAGCTTTTCGAACCGCTTTACTGCTCCTTGTGTTTATAGCTTTCACTTCCGCATGAGAGACGCCGCAATTGTCGGCCAAACGAATTCTGATAGAATTTTTGTTTACCCTTAGCCACAGCACCACTATGCAATGAATAAAATAAAAAGGTCTAACTATGGCTATATCTAGTTGGTACACGGCTTTGGAAGAAATACTTCAATTCTACTCAACTGCTGCATACAAATTTAGCGCGCTATCGTTGCATTCATGTCCCCTAAGTTCGAAATCGTCCCTCCTACAATATCTTTTGAACTTGGTATCGATATTTGGGATATCGAGTCTTTTTATTCCGATGCTAATGGGATATTTTTGCAGCTATACTTTAAATGAGTGCCACATCGATACTTTCGTTTCGATATCGAGTTCCTACACAAACTGATAGCATTGCTATTGACATGAACTTGGACAATATGTATATGGTTTCAACAGGACGATGCCACTTGCTAAGAAAAGAAACAATTGCAACGTGACACCTTTGAAATTAACGCTGCGTTTCCACGTTCAATAAATTGCTTTCAACCTGCTCACAGCTATGAGTTATCAAACAACCATTTTTTTGAACACGCTAGATTTTGCGTACTGATTTCGGGTTCTTAAAAATCAGTACAAAAAAAAACTCAGCACATGTACAGCACTGATCAAATCAGCCCATCTGGCTACCCTAAGTTCATGTCCATACGCCCAAGACGTCTTCAGAGCTCAAGAACAAAGTCATTCGCGTTATAAATGATATACAGCCAAAAATTTGTGGAAAATTTTGATTTTCTCATCCCGTGGTGAGCATTTAATGGATATTGTGTTTCATACATAAAGGAAGCCATAGACTAGAAAACTTGATGAAATAAAAAAAATATATATAAAAGAAAATCTGCGGTCTAATTGAATTACTCTCTGTGTATAATTACATATCTCTGTATGCATATTTCTATAATTCAAGTCTGTTATACCCGAAATGGAAAATGACTAGCTTACTTCAGTAATGAATGAATTTTCACAATGACCAAGTTTACCTAAAAATCTATTTTGCCTACGCTTTGATTCACAGGTAAACAGCTAATAAAAAAAAAACATTACGTGAGCTCCAGCACCTGAGTTTTTTTTTTTTCCTGAAAATTTGTAAGTTTGGAAATTAGTTCGTATACAGGTATGTACATGAATCCAAAAAAGCGTCTAATGCAAAAACAATGAACTGGCCACGAAAAATAAACAAAATATAGGCAAGCGTGCGCAAACGGTCAACAATCTTTTCAAATAGCGTAAATACCCATGAGCGCAGGCAAACATAAACATGCAGAGCGTCTTGAAAAGTAATCATATTTATAGAATATGTACAATACTATGTACATACAAAGACAAAAGCAAAGGTAATTCTACAGAGAGTACTGGCATGAGTATAGGAGCGCTGAGATAAGAAAAAAGGTGAGCTATTGAAAATTCCACTGAAATATATAGATATGTATGTACATATACATATACCTACCTACGGATCGTATGCGATGAACGTTGCAAAACCAAACTGCGAAAACTACGACGTGATCAGTGTAGTTGGTTTATATAGCATGGTTAGGGCGGTTGTAGGGTGAGAGGAAGTATGTGCACATACAGATGTAAGTATGCATGTGTGTGCAATACGTATATGAGCGACGAAAAATCGTGGATTACTGCTGCGGTGAGTGCAAATTGAACAATCAGTGCCAGTATTTTAGTTTAGTTTGTGTAGCAGATCACATCAGGTTGCAGGCGCGCCGCTTATGTGTGTGAAAAAATGCACATTTGACGCGAAATTTTCAACGTATAAATACCAGTGGAGTGATTCAGTAGCTGCGTTGACGCAACATATTTTCTATTAAATTCTTCAAAAATGAATATTTATATATATTGTTTGCTGCTTGCAATACTACACCAATATCAGCATAAACTTGCCAGCGGCCATTTGAGGCCTTTATATCCCGATACAGATAGCGAGGAGGATGAAAGCGAAAAAGGTGGTGCGCCAAAAATATTGCCTTTGCTTAGACCCTCACCGCCCAATCTAGACAATAACAGAGCGCCACCAACCAATCGCAGATACCCAGATCAACAGCATTTTTGGCAACCTCCACCGCCCACCGCTACACAACACTATCCTACTGATAAACCGGCACTAATCAATGTCACTGTAGTTGATTCTGTCGCTACGGCTAGTGCCTACAGCAGCGGCAGCTATGATGATGGTAGCAGCAGCGTAAACGGCAGCAGCACTTTCGTACCATTAATACGTAACAGCAGCACGGAATTCGTTCGTAATTCCAGCGCAACACCAACGTCCTCCTCAGTGCAATATTGCGAGCCGGAAGTATTCGAACATGATTACATCATCGTTGAAAATCTCACGCACCCCACCACGAATATTTGGAAACGGGCACGCGTCGGTGAGCGCGCTGGCCTACGGGAAGTTTGTCTACAGTCGAACGGTTTGCCGCTAACGCGCTTGTGTCGCTACAATAAGCAAGAGCAGCGCGCCGAATGGGAGGATATCAGCGCCTGGCCGCGCGTTTCCTGCTTGCGGCATGCACGTGAATGCATACTTAGCGATAAACTTAACAGACTGCATGAACGTTTGTTGGATAGGCAGGCGTTGGACGATGAAGTAACAAAGCGCAGAGAAGTGACTGGACAACTGTACAAAATGTTGCGTGAGACTAACTTCAACTTGTTGCCCGCAGATGTGCACTTAACTTCGCAAATATTGCACGAGGTGGCCGTCGCATCGCAGGATCCTGAGTTGTCGGTGGATATGGTTAGCATATGCGACCGATTGATGACGAGCGATCCACATGTTTTGCGCATTTCGGCAAACTTGAATGCCACCAACTCAATACTGGACACTTTCGAACACTATATGGACGCGATGTCTGCGCGCCAAGTTCCAAACGAAAGCTGCGCGAGTACATCGACAACGACAATAGTTTCACGTCCCAGTGACGAGTCGAGCGAAGATGTCGCAAGCGGCTACTCAAATGCCATTGAGGAAGTAAAAATGGGGCATTTAGGTATTCGCGCACATATTTCGGCAAACATAAGTGTCTTTTTTGTAAATCCGAGTTGTGCAAACATATCCGGCATAGCGTGTACGCGCCAACGGCAAAGCAAGAACCAGGAACAAATGCCACGCATGCGCTCCTAAACGCAACGGTGGCGAATTTTCGTTACCGTTTCATCAATATGAACGAATCGGTTTCGTCGTTGATGCAGGAACCCGGCCTACAAGTAGCGGGATATTTGCCAACGCGCTTGTGGGAAAAAGTGCGCACAACGCTGCTGTCGGAGGGTAACTACCGTTGGTGGTATTGAAAGTTTATGGACACGACGCGCTTTTTGTAGATCCGGCACTAATACTCACGCGCAAACCATTCAGCAAAATTCTCTCCATCTCCATACCGGGCTACAGACGTAAGTTATGCTTTAACAGACCATTTCGCCGCAAAAGTTAGTTTTAATTAATTTATTTGTTTTTTTTTTTATGAATTTCAGAAAATTTTCCAGAGCCACTGCCATTTCTGTTGCGTAATCGTTTCGATTATATGGATCCGTCACTCATAGCGCAACCGGGCACCGGTTGTGGCTACTGGAACTACACTACTTGGGTGAATAATGGTGTGCAGACGGATATCGAAGATTTGCTGAAGCAATCCGTAATTGAGTGCCATACACATCACTTGACGCAATTCTCATTCCTATTGGGCGGCACCTATAAGCAGGTCGACATTAGCAACGATGTGCTCATAACACCAATACATATGCGTGCTTTAGACATAATTTCGCTGGTGGGTTGCTCACTTTCGCTGGTAGGACTGTTGGGGATTTGGATCACAGCAGTAATGTTCAAGAGTTGGCGCGCACTCGCCTCCACTAAAGTGCTGCTAAACCTCTGTGTGGCGCTAACGCTGCAAATTGTGCTTTTCGTATTCGTCAATACAGAGGATATGTCCGCCGAGCTGGTCGAAGATCGTCTATATATAAATTGCATAGTGCTAGGTGCCTTTATGCAATACTCAATTTTAGTGCTATTCGCTTGGATGTTAATAATTGCGATGCTACAATTTCAGCGTTATGTAACCGTTATCGGCATTGAGCGACCGAAAAGATATATACTTAAGTCCTGTTTAGTCGCATGGGGCATACCGCTCATACCCACTATCCTGGTAGTATGCATAGATCCTAAAACTTACATTCCCTCCGAATACGAATTGCAAACAAATACCGGAATTTGCTATCCCAGCGGGTTGTCGTTAACGCTTGGCATCGTAGTGCCAATATCAATTGTTGTGGCTGCCAATCTCACTATTTTCATCTACGTTTTCTACAGCATATCGCATACACTGAATCAAGCAATGCAGCGCAACGAGAAGAAAATGATCATAAAGCAGATACGCTTGTCGGTGTTGCTCTTTTTTCTGCTCGGCATATCATGGATTTTTGGCATTTTTGCATACATGCAGGCCGGTATCATATTCTCCTATCTCTTCTGCCTCACTGCCACCATGCAAGGATTTGTGTTATTCATATATTTTGTGCTCATAGATGAAATGCCTCGCAATGCTTGGCTAAACTTGTTGTATCCTTACCGCAAGAAGAAGAGCAGCAAAAGAGCTACGGAACTACAATCGATGACAACTTCAACGGGTCTGGAAAGTGGTTCGTGTTCGCGCGACGCTATACCTCGCGAGCGTCGAAGGGAAAATATAAATGGACACTCCACACCAAAGTCACCGGTGGGTGGTGCTGGGCAGGCTGAAATGTGAAAAATTCGGTCAGAAGGTGCATATGCAAGGAACATAGACTGAAAGATTTTACCCACACATGCATGCTAAATACGCTGGCAATCAAAAGTGAGTCAAGTTAGATTTTTTTTTTGTTATCTTTTTTATCAAAATATAGTTCATGCTTTAATCGAAACTACATAAGTCAAATTCTAAAAGTTTATACAGAACGTAGAAAAATTCAACAAATTTGCATCTAAATTTTGAACTTTTTAATCTGAGTTTTTAGAAAAACGGTTATGTAATTCTGGTGAAGCAAGTGAATGTTTTAGGCGGATAAAGAACTGCGTTGATTTTTAATGATTATTTTTTCGCCGGATTTTGAGGTTTTATGCATATGATATGTTTGAAAATGGTCTTGCGCATTTTATTCTACAAGAAATTCCCTTTTTAAATGGTACAAAGTGGAATAAGAATCAGCAATAAAAATCATTAAAAATCAACGCAACTCGGGTTAAAAAGTTTGAAATTTAGACCAAAATTTGTTAAATTTTTCTGTAATAAACTTTGAAAGTTTGACTTATATGATTTTGATTAAAGCATGAATCATATTTTTCAAAAAAAAAAAAAATTTTACTTGAAAAGCGTTGCAAATATTTAAGAAAAAATACAATGCACTTTTGATCGCCATGGTATATACCACCATGCATCTACTTACGTACATACACATAATAGTTACTTACATACATACATATATATTTATTGTTATTATTAAGAATATTGCGTGCTTCAAAACTATGTAAGGAGCCTCAAAAAATACAAGTTAAAATAGTTTTATTAGTTTTCAATCCGAATAGAAGACCAATAAGTAAAATAAATTATTAAAAGAAAAACTTTAAGTGTTATGTAAGTTAGTAAGAATATTAAAACACATTAAGTAAAAAGATTGTATATTAACAAAACCTAGACGTTAAATGGTAATAAACTCTTATTGCTAATATTATCTACCACTCTAACCAGAAAACTTAGAACATTCGGCATGAAGCAGGAGACTTTTGGTTAGTTTCAGCAGTGATATCACATGTTTTTTCCCAAAAATGCCTACCTTCACCTAAAAAAACTTAACTTTTCCCTACGCCCACAAAAAAAACATCTGTTCAAGCAGTGTTAAAAACTTTCAAAATTAAGGCACAAGTCAATCAATATTACCTCATTTATTAATCAATAAACAATGCTTTTACATACTATATACATATATATGACAAATTTATAAAACAGGATAACGCAAAAAAAATAAAAATAAAAAATGATAAATGCCTTACAAATATATTCTTAAAGGTAAGCTTAGGAGAACAGAAATCAAGCTCTACGGAAGAAGAATAAGCATTGACATAGCACCCTCCTTAAAGGGATGTTCATGCCATAAACAGTTTTTGCTAAGCCAAAATAAAACCATTCATTGCAGCGAAGACTACGTGGAAGAACATTTAAACCAATTCTCATAAGAGGGTACAATCAATAGAGCCTGAGATGATGTAAAATACAAAACACTTCAATAAAAGAGTACGCTGCGCATCTAAGGCCATAAGGATTATTAATAGACAGCGAGAATGGTAAGATGGCAGAGATTCAGTAAAAGTAGGGAGCGAAAAGCAAACCGAGCAAAAACCCTTTGAACATATAATATATGGATATAAATATAATGAAACGGTATCCAAATAAATACAGCATTTTCTAGCCTAGAGCGAAAAAAGGCATACATATACAAAGATTTGAAAGTATTAGGATCGGAAAACGAAAAACAATTACGACGAACATATGCCAACATTGAACACGATTTAAAAATAAATATAATTTATGTGAGTAGCAAAGCTAAGCTTGGATTCACGGTTGCCACTTTGGTACAATTGTACCAAATATGGGCCTTTTTTCTCCGTTTATGTCTTTGGGACTTTTTTGTTTGTTTTGGGCCTTTTTCAAGCAACTATGCCTATCCGTCCATTTGGGGTTGGCGAAAGCTATCCGTTTGTTAGAAATATGCAGCACTCGCTGCAGCTGTTCTGTTGGTTCTTTTAATTGTTATTGGCATACTGCAGTGGAATTCTGACATCGCCAAATTCTCTTGCTGAAAAGCAGTGTTGGCTGCTGATCTCTAAATTTTCGCTGTGAATACATGTGTAAAATATTCACAGTACATACATATGTACAGTCAGTGTCAAATGTTGATGTACAACTTGTTATAATATAATATTAACAATTATTTTCATAAAAATGTTTCATTAATTATTTATGAAAATGTAGTTCATTCTACAATATAAACTATATAAAACAAAGCTTCGTACTTTATGTAATGTTCATAAAATTAAAAAAAATTGTTAAAATTTTGACATTTTTATTCAAAATTTCTAGAAAATTTTTGAGTATGCAGTTTTGTAGCTCGGTCAATTTTAGAATATACAAGTTTCAAGTAGCTAAAAATTACCGTTGACTTTTTAAAATTTCCTTCTCCATACCAACTCCCACACCGTTACAAGTAGATGAGAGGGAAGTTTATTCGGGAAGTATTCGCCTCAATAATGAGAAAGAGGCCGAATACGTAAGTTTTTTTTTTGTTAATTAATTCTTCAGAAACTATCAGGTCTATCGACAAGTGATTTATGTACAGTTCATGGAGAAGTTCATTGGCTTTCATCTGCCGTATTTTGTATTACATTTGGTGAATTTATTGGTAAGATATACATGATTAAATGGAACCACTCTTTTTTTTAACTGAATAACGGTAAATTGCAAATATCTCCAAAACATATCGATAGAAAAAGAATTAACTCGAGTTTAGGAATTGCATAGTTGCATCCATAGAACATTTTTGCTGAAAACTAGTGTTACCGGATCCTGTCCACATTGTTAGGGAAATAACCAATTATTGAAATAAGTAGTTCATTTAACTTAATAAATTATTTGAATTGAATTGAATATTTTAACAATAGTTGATTGAGTAGTTTAAGCGTCAAAGCATAACAAACAAATAGACGCATCTCCGCATTTATATTATATTTATGTAAGGATTTCAGTAATAATTCGAACAGACTTAAAACATTCACGGCTGGGTAAATTTACTTTTATATCTTAAGTTTTCAACTTAAAGCTGCACTTAAGGTGAGTATAGGAAGACACATACCCAGAGCGAAGCTTTCGGTAGCTGAGAAGTGAAAAAAGCTTTTTAAGTGTTTTCTTGCAAATTGAGCAAAAGCTCCCAACAAGCGCATTGCTAACACCATGGAACAAAACCTCAAGCAGTCGTGTGTGCATTCGCTATATACATACATATAATTTGCCATGTGAGTTGCTATAAACACAGGGGCTACATGAATAATNCCATGCTAATGTTAAAGACCATCTCTCATCTCACAGTATCAGTTTAACTATTGGTTGACTGCAGTTAATTTACATCCATTAGCTAACCAATAGTTTAAAACAGCTGATTTTCTAGTAGTTAACTAATGACTGGGAAATGGCCCTATTAAAGACCGTTTGTTCAATATTCAGTTATCATAAAGCGGAGGTAGAACCTCTGGTTAAATACAACGACTGTTTCATCGATTACATGTTATATGCATGACGTCGAAATCGTGGATAATGATGTTTCATTTTGATAGTGACTGGTAGTGATAACCATACATTGAACAACGGGCCCTAAGTTGTTAACAATTGAATCGGCATTGCCAGCATGTATGTAGTACATTAGAGTGGTCCTAAATCAAATGAAGGATTTTTTTCAGTCTCACCCCTCAATCGGTAATTCCGCGGTCACAGACATCACATATAAATTTTGGCCCCGATTGGAGTCGGGAATTGTTTGGTTAAGGTATTTTCTGAACTTTGACCCCTATGCTAAACGCCTTGGCTGTCTCCAATGGGAACCAAAATTAATATGTAAAATCTTCGCCTATAGTAACATCGACGTAGGGGTTGAGGTTTAGGAAATCTGATGTAAAAATTTGCTTCCTACATTTAAAGGTCACCCTAATATACATACAAATGTAGATACATATCTACAAAATAAAATTGTAGACTGTTGACTACGGAATGGAGGAATTAAGGAGGATTTTACATTAAATGGTTTCTTTTAACAAGTGGTTGCCCTAAGAAGCTTTCCTGTGACAGAA